GAGACACTGTGAGCAGAGTGTCTAAGGAGTCCATAGAGTGTTGTGGCTACAGGATACAGCAGAGGAAAGATCCTTCAGAGGTCTAGCCTGTGGAGTTCCTGGATCATTATAAGCATACTATATTGGGATGGTTGGTAAGGGTACCCTTACTGCAAATAGAAGTGCACACTATTTGAATCTGTCTTGGTTTTGATGTGGCACTAAAAGAGTGTTATATACACTGATTTGTTTTTCACTGATTCACGTTTGGTTCACGTTTTTTCACTATTTTCACCTATATTCACTGTAGGAAGTATTTGAAAGTTTTTAATAAAGATATTTATAAAAGGTAATGCACTATATGAATCTTCTTTTTTTTGAGGTGGACACTTTATGAATATCGCTGGAAGAATTGATTGGATTTTTTAGTGGACTTGAAAAGGAATTTTAGTGAACTTTATATTTGTAGTGGATTTATATATTTTTTTTGCATTATATATTTTTTTTGCATTATATATTTTTTTGCAAAATTTTGGGGATTAAGGTGATTGAAGGATTATTGTTTTTTGGAGAATCTTGTAAATACACTGTCACTTATTTAATATATCTAAAGACGCACATTACAGAATAAATAATGTCCTTTAGTGCTACTTGATGTATCCTACTTTTAAAACTTTAAATAAACTTTTTTTACTGTTACAAAAACGAGTGTAAAATCATATAATGTCTGACCCAGCTCAGCAAAATAGAGAGCCCCCTTCTAGAAATGGTATAAGCATTGTATTTTCTTCTGCTATGCCCACTGCATGGAAATCTGGTATAGCCGACCATCTGTTCATGAATGTTGCTGTGTGGGTACCCATATATCTTAGTGGTCAGAATTCAGTCTGCTACATGATGCACAATAGCAGAAAGAAAACTCCTCCTACACGCTTTAACAAGTGCTCTGCTGAAGTCACAAGATTGCTCTAACTGCTGATGAGAAAAGTTAAAGTTTGGGGCTCTACCAGTGTCCGGATCACAGCCAATTTTTGGAATTATCCAACGGGTGTTTTTATCCATCTACCATTGGAGGCCAGTTTGATCCTTTGACATTATTAAGTGTCCAGGTCCATGGCATGCATTTGGATTCTGTATTGCGCCTTTTGATCCAACCTTAACTGGGGGTCAATTTCATCCAGTAAGAGGCAGAATTTTTTGGGTGTTGGTGATGGTGGATTTTCTTCATCTTCTTGACCAGATTTGAAGCATTTATAACAACATTGATGTCCCATTAAAGGAGCTTATTCTACGTTATATCTCCTTCGCATGTGTATTGGACTTGTCATTTGCTCCATGTATTTGCACTCATTTTTTGGTTATATGTAGCGCCGCACTTTTATGTTTTATTACATGCCATATTGTAGTTTAAAACGGAGTTCCTGCCCCCGGCCCCCCCCCACCAACAAAATTAAAAGTCAGTAGCTACAAAAGGAGATATTCATCTTTGTATTCCATTCACTTTTGTATTCCAGCGCATAGCCTTTCCGTTGCTTCAGAGCACTGCGCCGTGGCTATGGACTCCCAACCGCATGTGCGGGAGTGACGTCATCACGGCTTGGCCATTCAGACAGGCGGAGTTCAGGAACCCGGAATGAAGATTGGGTGAAGATGGAAGCTGCTGGAGGGCTTAGTTTTATGGTACGTCCTTTATAATGTGCTAGAATGCGATGCAAGGGGAAACTGTTTTTTTTTTTTAATATGTGACTGATCATATGCTACCTATACCATATACACATCTCCAAGCATGTAACAAGTGAAATAAATTCAAAAATAAAAATTGTAAAATAAAAATAGTCCAAATAAAAATCAGTGCAACCATAAGAAATATGTCCTTCAAAAATGTATTTATTTAGTTTATTTATTACATTTGGTAAGGGTATTCACTCCTTCCACAATAGAAGTGATCACAGTTATTGACACTTGCTGCTGGATGGTTTTTGTTTTTCTTTGCACTTATTTGATTCACTGTCACGTTTGACACAGTTATTCACTTTTTCACTGTCAGTGATCACGTGTTTTTTGTTTTTCCTTTTTGGCATGATACGGCTTGATAAAGTATATTTGCTTATTGAGTGTATTTAATTTATGAGGGATAATGCACTACATGAATTTTCTTTTCTTTTGAGGTTTTCTTTTGTCCAGGGTAGCCATTTGGAAGGCTTCAACACCAGGATTTTTGGAACTTTCACTGAGTGACTATATAATTTTTGAAGGACATATTTCTTATGGTTGCACTGATTTTTATTTGGACTATTTTTATTTTACAATTTTTTTTTTTTTAATTTATTTCACTTGTTACATGCTTGGAGATGTTTATATGGTATAGGTAGCATATGACCAGTCACATATTGTTACACTTTTAGGGTGAAGTGTTTTATATATGCTATTGGGTATACTTTGATTTAGATTTATTTAGGGGATATGGTAAATTTAGTTATTATTGTTTTTTTTAAGTGCTGTTTACTACCGCTTTAATTAAATCTTTAGAATGTGAAGGGGCCTAAAGTGTAATTCCGCTTTGTTGAGAAAAAAAGCAGTCTCCTCTGGGTGATCAATGTACATTGAAGAGATTTTAACAACTTTGTTGCAGATTCCTTCTATTTGTTGCTCTGCAGGAATAGCGTTTTTTTTTCACCCTGTTCTTTATGAAATAATTCTAAATGGGAGGGTCTGGTTCATTATAATCACCTGGTGAGTATCTAACCAAAATTGAATTTCCTATTGAAGAGGATGTCTAAAAATGTGACTTGTATCTTAGTGCAGAATTCTGGGTAAATCAGTGAGCCAATCACACAAGCAGGAAATTACATTTCTGGGGGCATTCCGTACAGCAATAGTGTATATAATGCCTCCAGTTTGCTATACTGCATAGAATTTTGACAGGAACTTACATTGGCTGTAGATTGAAAAGGAAAAGGAGTTTATAAATATTAAAGCGGAGTTCCACCCAAAAGTGGCAGCTCCACTTATGCCGGCCATACATGGTTCGAATTCCGAATTATTTTTTGTCCAAAAATGGAAAACGTTGTTCGTTCGGTAATCCGATGGTGCCATCAATCATTTCGAAAATTGGCCGACCAAGTTATAAAGTTCTCCCCATATAACAAGCGAAGGTCACGGCTCATGCGCATATTCTTTTCGGAAAAATGATCGTATGATTTGACCATCATTGAGTCGAAAATTGGTCATTTTTCCCGAATTTTCCAACATGCCCCATCACCGAAAAGGGGAAGAACCACGAAAATCAGCTGGTGCCATTGACCCACTAACAGAGCAAAAATAGGTCAAATTATTCTTAGGTCCGATTTTTGGACAAAAAGCAGTCGAATTTCAACCCATGTATGGCCGGCCTTATCTGTCCCCCCTCTGCTGCCACATTTTGCACCTTTTTGGGGGGAGGGGAAGCGGATACCTGGTTTTGAAAAGGTACCAGCCCCCACTTCTGGCTTCAGCAAACTGAGCCAGAAGTTCAGGCCCCCTTGCAGTCCTCTGGGAAATTTCACAGGTCCCGGAGGACTGTGGCCCATTCACAAAGCGCAGCGTGCTTCACACATGTGTAGTTGGAAACAGGCTATGAAGTCAAGGCTTCACTGCTGGTTTCCTTTACCCTCGATTCACACCTAAAAATTTTCCGCAGCATTTTGCAGAAATGCACTACAGTCCATTTATCATGATTTCCTATGGGGCATGTTCACATCTCCTCATATTCACCCGTTGGATTTTTTGGAAAGGGTCAAGGACTTTTTTGAATGCAAAAAGTTGCATTTTTGGTTCTATAGACTTCAATGGAAATGCTACAGGTAAGCTTTATTTAAACCTTACCTTTAGGTAAAAATAAAAATCCAGAGTTTACGACCACTTTAACACCCACCACCATACTATACAAAAACTTAACCCAAAGTCCCTCAAAATCCTTGCACTTTCCTTTTTTGTTTCAAGTACTGACTAGTAAAACTGGCAGCACAAAAGAATTGTTCTGGGGCCAAACCATTGCATCATCACAAATTACAGCTGCAGTCGATATTCTGCCTCTTCCCAGAAGATGAATACTAGGAACCACAACCAGCAGTAACCTAGGGAGGCAAACTTGTTCCTGTTCCCATCTACAGGAAATGAGATATGGTGGTCCAAAAAAACAAGGGAAGCATTACCACATTACTTCCATTATCTGCACCATTGACCTAATGAGGACATACCCAAGTCTCTGCACCACTGTGGCTATTTCTTTTTTTACTTATAAAGATGCCTATGCAATTATTCCAACTATTCATGCATTATACACTCTCCAATATTCCTCTCATGCATATTATGTAAGCTTAATGCAGCTTTCTTTTCTCTAAATAAAAATGTTAAGAATGAAACTTCAAAGGATACTATTACCATATTTTCTGGCGTATAAGATGACTTTTTAACCCATGAAAATCTTCTCAAAAGTCGGGGGTCGTCTTATACGCCGGTATACGGCATGCTGACGCTTGGTGTCAGGGTGGCACTTTTTAGGGGGGCGGCGTGGTGCCGCCGCCACCCCCCCTTCCAGCGGAAGGGACGCTAAGTACAGGGGTGGGCAGGGGGTGCTGTTTCTTACCTGGCTCCGGTCCCAGTCCCACGACGATCCAGTCCAGGAAGCGCGGCTGCTCTTTCATTCAGTTCGGCCGCTCGATGTTCGCGCGGCCACTCTGCTCTGCCTCCTCACCGGTGATTGGGCACCAGAACTGTAGCTCAGGAAAGGCACATAGGCGGCCAATCACCGGTGAAGGGGCGGAGCCGAGCGGCCCCGTGAAAATCAGTGAGGGAGCGGCCGGTAAGTGTGCCGTGCAGAGGTGCTGCTGCAACCACATATGCTGGCTGCAGCAGCACCATGCGGGAACAGGGGTCAGCAAGTGTCATTGGTGTCAGTGGGAGGAATAGTGCCCCATCATTGGTGTCACTGATACTAATGATGGGGCATTATTCCTCCCACTGACACCAATGATGGGGCACTATTCCTCCCCCCACTGATACCAACGATGGGGCACTATTCCTTTCCCCCACTGACACCAACGATGGGGCACTATTCCTCCTCCCCGCTGACACCAACGATGGGGCGCTATTCCTCCCCCCCACTGACACCAACGATGGGGCACTATTCCACCCCCCACTGGCACCAATCATGGAGCACTATTCCTTTCCCCACTGACACCAATGATGGGGTACTATTCCTCCCACTGACACCAATGACAGGGCACTATTCCTCCCACTGACACCAATGACGGGGCACGATTCCTCCCACTGATACTAATGATGGGGCACTATTCCCCCCACTGATACTAATGATGGGGCACTATTCCCCCCACTGATACTAATGATGGGACACTATTCCTCACACACTGACACTAATGATGGGGCACCATCATTGGTGTCAGTGGGAGGAATAGTGTCCCATCATTAGTGTCAGTGGGAGGAATAGTAGCACCCCCATCATTGGAATACCATACTGGAATACCATACCATACCATTGAAATCAAATCTGATGTTTTTTAATTTTTATTGATGTGCGTTGGAAGAGGGATAGTCTTATACGGCGAGTATAGCCCAAACCCTATATTTTAACGGAAAAGTAGGGGGTCGTCTTATACGCCGGAAAATACATTACATCTGTCAAAACTTCTAGAGGAGTTTTAGCTGTAAAAACTCTTTAATGCTGAAAAACGAAGTAAAACACAGTAAAACGCCACAAAACCAACGTTTTTGGAATTTTTGTGACCCAAAAAAATTTTTTTGGGTTAAAAAATGCTAAAAATGCTACAAACTGCAAATGTGGAAAAACGCAGGAAAACGCAGCTAATCGCAGCAAAACGCCACTAAATGCTAATGTAAAAATGCTAAAATAAGCCTTATCAAAATGTTAGTGTGCATGAGGGCTAAGGCTCCGTTCTCATCTGGGTGTTTTGCATTGTGGGAAGAATCGCAGAGATTCTGCCCATTATTCTAAAATGCTCTGCTAAAATGACAAATCGTACAATGTGTATTCAGGGGGCATTCATTTTCAGTGACACCTAAAACGTGATGCGATTCTGCTGCGATTGTCACGCAATAATTCGGGCTGCAATTGAGCAAACTGCATCACGCAAAGATTATCACCCCAAAAGAGGCTCCTACTCCGTTTCTGGCGACAAGCTTCACGTGATGCAGTTTGCCATGGTTGCAGCTTGATTTATTGCCAATCGCTGCAGAACCCCACTGTGTTTTAGGTGCCTTTGCAAATGAACAGCACCTGTACATGCGTTGTGCAATTTGTCATCTTAGCAGAGCATTTTGGAATTGCGGGCAGTATCTTGGCGATTTTGTTTTTGCGATACAAAATGCCCAGATGTGAATAGGGTCTAACTGATCTATACAACAGCACCCATTTAAATATATACTATAATTTGTAGGGTTCATGCACACTGGTTTAAAAAAACGCCAGTGTTCTTGGCAAAAAAAAAAAAAAGCTAATTTTGAGCTTTTTTTTTACTAGCATTTTAGGAGCATATAGTATGTTTTTCTGCCAGAAAACTGCTCTCAAAAATTTGGTTTTATTTTTCTGCATCTAAACGACCTAATGCACATGGACACATAGGATAACATTGAGCTGCCTCTACAGGCAAAACACTAAACTCCTCTAGGAGGAGCATTTTTTTAGGCCAATGTGCATGGACCTGTAAGCCTCTAATAAGGAGTCTGTCCACCTAAATGTGGTGTTTTTTGTAGGTCTAGGGGAAAAATGTTACTGTAATAGTTTTCCAGGCCCCTGTATTGCATATAGAACACAAAAGTTCTTACATGCACCACTACTGGTTCCTTATTACATGCACACCCTCATACTTACATTCACCACCTCATTCATTATACATGTAGTGACTCACCCCTATGTACTTCACACAGTGCTCCATACCTCTGCATTGAATGCCATGCTTTATACTGCACCTCTGAATTCCATGTAGTGTCCCAGGCCCCTGTATTGCACATATACCTTCATAGCTATTAAATGCAGTGCTACTGGCTTTCCTATTACATGCACCCCCTCATACTCAACGCCTCATCCATTATATATGTAGTGACGTTTCCCTATGTACTTCACTCAGTGTCCTATACCTCTGCATTCAATGCATTGCTTTATACTGCATCTCTGGGTTCCATGTAGTGTCCCAGGCCTCCACTTTGCAGATATAACTTCAAAACTATAACATTTAGAACTACTATTTCTCTCTATTACACGCACACCCTCACACTGACACTCAGCAGGTGTAGTAGAGTAATAGAAATCTAACAGACCCAACAGTCATGACATGCATGCTTCTGATTCTGTGTAATTGAATCACTAATTGAAAGGGGCATGTTCAAAATAATAGCAGTGTGGAGTTCTATTAGTGAGGTCATTCATTCTTTGAAAAACAGGTGGCAATTATTGCCCTGATTTAAGGAAGGAAGGCAGCAAATGTTGTACATGCTGGTTACAGTGCATCTCTCTCTGAAATTCTGAGGAAAATGGGTCGTTCCAGACATTGTTCAGAAGAACAGCGTACCTTGATTAAAAAGTTGATTGGAGAGGGGAAAACATATAAAGAAGTGCAGAAAATGATAGGCTGCTCAGCTAAAATAATCGCAAATGCTTTAAAATGGCAACCAAAACCTGAGAGACGTGGAAGAAAGCGAAAAACTACCATTCGAATGGATAGAAGAATAGCCAAAATGGTGAGGACTCAGCCAACAATCAGCTCCAGGAAGATCAAAGAAGGTGTAAAGTTACCTGTGAGTACTGTTACAATTAGAAGACGCCTATGTGAAGCCAAGCTATCTGTAAGAAGCCCCCGCAAAGTCCCACTGTTGAAAAAAAAAGACGTGCTGAAGAGGTTACAATTTGCCAAAGAGCACATTGACTGGCCTAAAGAGAAATGGCGCAACATTTTGTGGACTAAATGTTCTTTTTTGGTCTAGTGGCCGGAGACAGTTTGTCAGACGACCCCCAAACACTGAATTCAAGCCGCAGTACACTGTGAAGACAGTGAAGCATGGTGGTGCAAGCATCATGATATGGGGATGTTTCTCATACTACGGTGTTGGGCCTATTTATCGCATACCAGGGATCATGATCAGTTTGAATACATCAGAATACTTGAAGAGGTCATGCTGCCTTATGCTGAAGAGGAAATGCCCTTGAAATGTTCCAAGACAACGACCCCAAACACACCAGTAAACGTGCAACATCTTGGTTCCAGACCAACAAGATTAGCAATAATGGTGTGACCCTCCTGCGCTCCAAATGTGTGTTAAATAATACAAAATATATATAATAAAAATATATATAATAAAGGAACCCCAAACAGCTGCTAGCATTAAATCATATACCAGTGATCAAGTGAATGTAAACCATAAGAATGCTGCGCTAACATTCAAATTAATAAATAAAGTGAATGTGGAATTCAATATCTCAAAAGAAATATTAACAATGATAATAAGTATAATAGTGAATGTGCTTAGTGATAACACAAAAATTAAATTATAATAAAAACACAACATTTAAATCAATACGCATGTGCAAAAGGATGCACATACATATATTGCATCACACGTGCAAAAAGTGAAGTGAAATATATCTAAATGATACACGCAAACTCAAAGTCCAATGAATATTAAAGGTGAAAAAATTCCAATAATGGAATATTAAAGGTGAAAAAATATATAGTTTTTGGTTGACTGTGTTTCCAATAAACTGTAAAGTAACCACAGGTGAAACAAAACGTGCAGGTATCTGGGTGTGGATAGAGCTTGTGAATCCAACCACCTTCTGGATTAGCCTCTCACCTCATCACTTCGACCCTTGCGGGTCAAAGAGCAGTAATGGATCCCTCTCACAGATCCTCCAGGCACCAAAGCACTCCAAAAACACTTCTCAGGATATAATATTCCCACTCAGCTCTTCTTCAAGTAAAGATGAAATATCACTTTCCCAGAACAAAACAGAGGGATCCTCCCATAGTGTAGTATGTTTATTATAGGAACATCAAATCTTGTAATGAAAATAGACTTACGTAGCAGCCAGTCCACATTCGACCCTCATGCTTTCAAATGAGGATATATGTGTGTAAATTGGGTGTACAGCTGAATCCACAGGTGTACCAAGATGGCCGCCACGCCGGAAATACGTCACCGCGCTACGCCGACGCGTTACGTCACAATATCACGTGACTTCATCAGGGCCCTTATTAATTTATTAATTTGAATGTTAGCGCAGCATTCTTATGGTTTACATTTAGACCAACAAGATTGACGTTATGGAGTGGCCAGCCTAATCCCTGGATCTTAATCCAATAGAAAACTTGTGGGGTGACATCAAAAATGCAGTTTCTGAGGCAAAACCAAGAAATAGAGAAGAACTGTGGAATGTAGTCCAATCATCCTGGGCTGGAATACCTGTTCACAGGTGCCAGAATTTGGGTGACTCCATGCAACACAGATGTACAGCAGTTCTCAGAAACAGTGCTTATACAACCAAATATTCATTAAGTGATTCAAAGGAAAGCAAAATCTTCAAACATTTTTCAGTTTATATAGTGAATATTTGAGTTTGTAAAGAAGAATACAAACACTGCTATTTTTTTGAACAGTCTAATATTCAAATATCGAAATAAAAGCTATTAGAAGGATTTTGAGCTTTATTCACTTTTTTCAACACACTGCTATTATTTTGAACACAACTGTACTTTCCTACCGATTTAATAATGCCAGCAGTATAAGGATAAAAATAGTCAATCTTGATTAACTGAGAGAATGAAGTTCCTCTTTAACTACTTGGCAAACTGAATGTACATATTACAAATTTTAGGTTGAAGGTTACTTAAATAAAAAATATCTTACAATCAAGATTAAGAAAATAATTAGAAAACACTTGTAAGGGTAATGCCCAATGTTAAGATTTTCTTTAGATTTAACCACTGTGTAGTACAATAGTCTACATAAAAATTCCATCCAGTTTATAGCCATTCAGGTAGTCCATGACTCTACAAATGGTTGTCACTTCCTTAAGAGAATCTAAAAAAATATTCCTGCCATAGAAATCACTGAATATCACTCCTGAAAAATACTGCTGCCCCAGCCACAATGTCTATTGCCTGTGTCTTCCACTGGACGCTGTGGTTCCATTTGTTGATCTCTAAGATGAAACTGACTCTGTATTGAAGATGATCCTGCAGAAATTGACACTTCTTGGAGTGTCAGTTTTCTGCTCTCCTGCTGCTGGCTGCTGTCCTGCTCCCTCCCCTCATGTCACCATAGGATAAAATAGATACAGTCATGGCCGAAATTGTTGGCACCCTTGATATTTTTCCTGAAAATCAAGTATTTCACACAAAAAAGGTATTGCATTAACACATGTTTTGCTATACACATGTTTATTCCCTTTGTATGTATTGGAACAAATATAAAACAGAGGCAGAAAAGCAAATATGACATAATGTCACACAAAAACCCCAAAAATGGGCTGGACAAAAGTAT